GATGATGAGAAAAGCAGCCCAGAAAGTCCATCACAGGAGCAATGTGTGGATGACATCCACCCGAGGTTTTTGGTGGCAATTATTTCGCGGAGGAGTCGACACAGAGCAGGTACTGAAACATGGTTATGTTCAGACCACAGTGAGGGGCAGATAGATGCTCAAGGTCTCCATTGATAACCATCTATTGTTCCCTTCTGTTTCTTTTGGTGGAAGCCTTTAGAGACCCATTGCTGTTCAATCTGTCCTTGTTCTCCTCGATTCTTTAGCTTCTGAGATTTTCTTGAAAGGTTTAACACTTTTTCATGTGCATCAACAAAGCAAATGAGGCACTCAGGTGCTACATACAGTTTTTTGCTGCTTTTTAATATCCAGAACATGTAAAATTTCATTGTAATCAATCAGTATTCTTTCACCCAGCCTGGTTTGACCACAGCATATTTTAACTTTGTGATTTCCCAAAGGAAGAATGTTGAATTCCCATAAAAGGCCAAGCTTATTCATCTCCCTTCTGAAAAGTTCTTCCATTTTTGTTGCTTTTTCTAAGCTGTTTTACGGCAGAATGATCACTGTTTTCTCACTTAGGTTTTCTCAGAACAGACCTATAACTTGTTCCTCGTATTCTCCTGTTGGTAAAGATCTTGCGATGATTGCTGGCTTCTATAAATCTGTGTCAAAGTTCACCTGGAAATGGTCCTGTGAACTGTCCTGGGATATCTGAATATATTCAAATAGTATATGAAAGCCAACTGTTTACTTAGACTCTTTTTCTGTGCAGAGAAAGTTTGCATTTTCATTAGGTTTTAGCTGTAGGTACACCTGCAGTGCTTTTCCAAATGGAGTCCCAGAATTTTGACCCAGTGACACAGAAGGAGCAATGATAAAGTCCCACGTCAGGCTGGTGTTGGTTTGGAGGAGTACTTGCAGGTAGTCATGGTGTTCCTATGCAGCTGTTGCTGTTGTCATTCTAGGTGATAGGATCATGGATTTACAAGGTTGTGCTGTAGGAGGTTTAGTGTGATTTTTCGCGTGTCACTGTTCGTTTGGTATATACTGCTGCTTTTGTGTGGAGATGGTGGAAGGGGTTGAACTCATTGCTGCACATTGTGTTGGTGATAGTCATTTGAGGGCTGTTTTGAATTTCCATTACTCCTTTTCCTGTCATCTTTTTGGTTCAAGGCATTCAGTCAACGGTTTGCAGGTGTCCCCATGCTCCTTTTCCTTTGTGTTAACTTCAGCTAGTGTCTAGATCAAAAATCCACCCTTTATCTATCCTTGCCCCTCCTGATTTTGTTTAAGGTTTCTGGGTGTTCCGCTCTGGAGGATGTCAGGATAACAGTATGTCATACACACAGCACATTGTGCAGTTGGGGCTGAACTGCTTTTCATTTTCCCATCATGGTAACTACCTAGTTTAGCTAACTCTTCATAAGACAATGGTCTCAAAAATGGTTTGACCTGAATTGAAACAGAGCTAAGCTAACATTGGTCGGAAATATTTGTGGGGGTTAATTCAGGTAGCTGTTAATCAAGTGCACGATTGAACAACTCTTGCAGTGGTCTCTCGTTGGAGAATTGCTCTTATTTTCCAAGGTCTTGTTGGGGATGCAAGAGTTTTTTGCTATCTTTTCCCAACTTGCTTGTTAAGAAAGCTGCTCGTATTTCTGATAACAAGAACAAGGATCACGACTGGGCCATTCAGCTCCTCATTCCTGCTCTACATTTAACAAGAGTATAGATCATCTGATGGTAATCTTCAATCCACATTCCTGACTGCTCCTGTTGAGCTTTTACCCCTTCGCTTCCTGAGAACCTATTCATGTCGGACTTAAAAATATTCAAGGATTCTGCTTTTGACCAGGAAGAGTTCCGAAGTTACACACCCTTCGGAGCAAAATGTCACCTTGCCACTGTTTAAAATGGGTCACCCCTGACTTTAAACAGTGAATCCTAGTCCTAGATTCACCCCTAAGAGGAAACTTCCTCTGCATATCTAGTGTGGCAAGACAAGTCATGATTTCACATTAGCATCAATTTGCCTCTACTCTTCTAAACTCGAGCAGATACAAGCCTAGCCTGTCTGATTTTTCCATGTAAGACAACCTGCCCGTTTCAGAGATTAGCCCAGTAATCCTTATTTAAATTACTTCCAATGCTTCTCATTCCACTGCATCCTTCTTTAAATAAAGAGACCACTTCTAGTCACGGCTGTCCAGATATAGCATCACCAATGCCTGTATAACTAAATCATAACTACCTACTTCTGTATTCTGTTTCCCTTGCATGAAAAGATAACATTCTGTAACCCTTTCCAATTACTTGCTATTCCTGTATACTAATTGTTTGTGAATCATCTCTGACATGCAAATCCCTCTGCATTTCAGAGTTCTGCAATTTCTCACCATTTAGATAAACGTTTTGACTTTTCCACCAAAGTGGAATGTTTCATATTATACTCCATTTTCCAGATATTTACCCCCTCGTGGGAAATTGTGCTTGATAAATCTGTTGGAATTCTGTGAAGATATAACTCGTAGAATGACTGTCTCCTGCTTGTCAAATGTAGTTTCTCTGGGCTTTCAGAAAGCATTTGACAAAGTCCTGCATTAGACATTAATGTGCAAGATTAAAGCGCATGGGATTGGGGGAAGTGTATTGAGATGGATAGGAAACTGGTTGGCAGAGAGGAAACAGAGTAGGAATTAATGGGTCCTTTACAAATTGGCAGGCAGTAATTAGTGGGATGCCACAGGGATTGGTGCTGGGACTGCAGCTATTCACAATATACATTAGTGATTTGGACGAGGGAACAAAATGTAACATCTCCAAGTTTGCAGATGATGCCAAGTTGGGTGGGAGGATGAACTGTGACAAGGATGCAAAGATCCTTCAGCATGATCTCCACAGGTTGGGTGAGTGGGCAAATCAATGGCAGATTCAGTATAGTTTGGATAAATGAGGTTATTCACTTTGGAATCAAAAACCAGAAGGCAGATTACTACTTGAATGGCTGTAAATTGGGAGAGGGGAGTGTGCAGTGGGACCTGGGTGTCCTTGTGCACCAGGCGCTGAAGGTAAGCATGCAGGTGCAGCAGGCGGTAAAGAAGGCAGATGGTATGTTGGCCTTCATTGCAAGAGGTTTTGAGTACAGGGGCAGGGATGTGTTGTTGCAGTTGTACAGGGACTTGGTGAGACCACACCTGGAATATTATGTGCAGCTTTCGTCTCCTTTTCTGAGGAGGGATGCCCTGGTTCTCAAGGGAATGCAGCGAAAGTTTACCAGGCTGATTCCGGGGATGGTGGGCCTGATGTACAAGGAGGTATTGACTGGGATGGGATTGTTTTTGATGGACCTGAGACGAATGAGGTGGGGGTGGATCTTGGACTTAAAATTCTAACCGGATTAGACAGGGTAGATGCAGAGAGGATGTTCCTGATGGTGGGTGTGTCTAGAACTAGGGGTCACAGTATGAGGATTCGGGATAGACCATTTCGGATGGAGATAAGGAGTGGTGAGCCTGTGGAATTCAATACCACAGGAAGTAATTGTTGCCAATATATTGAATGTATTCAAGAAGTGGCTGGATATAGCACTTGGGGTGAATGGGATCAAAGGTTATGGGGAGAAAGCAGGATTAGGCTATTGAGTTGGACGATCAGCCCTGATCGTGATGAATGATGGAGCAGGCTCGAAGGGCCGAATAGCCATCTCCTGTTCCTATCTTCTATGCTTCCGTGTAAACCATCCATAGCCTTTTGTAAGCTCTTGTCCTCTTCACAACTATCTTGCTATCTTGGTGTTGCCAGCAAATTGGGCAGCAATATCTTGGACCCTTCGCTTAAGTAATTTATATAAATTATAAACAGTTGAGGTCTTGGTTTTGATCCTTGTGACATCTTGCCAACTTGCAGAAGATTTATTAATGTCCAATCTGTTTTCTCTTAACCAGTCAGTCTTGTATCTATGCCGAGATGCTTACCTGTTAAGCCATAAGATTTTATTTTCTGCAATAACCTTTAATGTGCCACGTTAGAAATCCCTTCTGAAAATTTAAGTGCAGTGTATTCATCCCTTTTATCCACAGTGCATATTACTTCCTCAGAGCTGACTTAGATTGGTCAAAGATGATACCTTTTTCAAAAAACCAGGTCGACTCTGCTGGATTACCTTGAAGTTATACAAAAGTCCTGCTATAATTTATTGAATACTAGTTCCTCACATTTTCCCTATGGCACACTTTTTAAGGCAACTAGCCTCCTCATGGAACAGAGGACCTGGGATACTTTTTGTTATATACAGTTATGCAATAGGGAGTTTTAGTTTTGGCAATTATGTTGAAGCTTTTTTGACTGTGGAAGAGTTTAAGCTGTTGGATCTGTCAGTGCTCATGTCAGAGAGGTCTGTGTTTATGCTGGATATATAAAATCCAAACATGCCAAACATCCACTTGCTGGGGTGAGTGTGGCTCCAACAGCACTTGAAGCTTCCCATTATCCAGGACAAAACAGCCCTTTGCACAACCTCCCCAGTATTTACTCCCTTCACCACTGACGCGCAGTAGCAGCAGTGTGTGCCATGTACAAGATAACAGCAGTAACCCACCAAGAGTCCTCTGACAGCACTTTCCAAAACTGTGATCTCTACAATCTGGCAGCAGACGCATGGAAACCCCACTGCCTGTAGGTTCCCTCCAAGCCACACACCATCCTGACTTGGAACTATATTGCTGTTCCTTACTCTTCATTGTACCTACACCTCAAAGATTGCAACAGTTCAGGGAGGCAGCTCACTACTGACTCCTCCTGGGCACTTAGAGATGGACAATAAACTCTGGCCTTGCCAGAAATATCAACATTCAGTGAAGAAATTTTTTAAAGAAAAAAAAACTGCTGAAAATGGATAAAAGGATTCGGTTTAGGGAAGTGAACGGGACAGTCGAACTTGCCCTTGATTATTGTACAAATAAATAACACTGGCGTAATAACCCAAGAAAACTCCTTTTTGGAGCTGTAAATCTCTGGTTTTTATTTCAAGTAAATTTATAGATAGCAGGTCAGGTGTATTTGTGGAGAGAGAAATGTAACACTGGACCTCTGTGATATTGCACCAGTGTGCTGATCCTCAGCCTACAAGGTTGACTGATTCTTTCTCCACGGATGCAATCTAGTGTGGATATTTCCAGACTGTTTGTTTTTATTCCAGATTTCAGCATTTTGGTTTGGTGATTTTGCACCACCTTGTGACTCATTATTGAGCATTCTTTTGTAAGAAGACAATTCTATCTCTGTTTCCGTGCTGGGAATAGTTCAGTTTAGTAATTGATATGGTACATCAGCAGATTCTGACAACCTTTTTACATGGTGACTGAATTTCAAAAAATAATTAATGTGCGCACTCCACGTTGGTTATTTGCTTCATACTGTTTGTTTATTTGTGGAGGAGCGGAAACCATTGGAAGGTGCAGATTTAAGTTGCTGCTGGAAGGCCTGTGCTGGGCTTTCGCACCTTAACTCTCTGGGGTGGGACCAAGGGCATACTGCACCGCGTCGAAACAGGCTGTGCTACAGATCAGATACTTTTTTGCTTTGGTAGGTTTAAAACGTTTCATGGCCCTATTTTGAGAGGGGCAGGGGAATGATCTCTAGTTACCTGTCTGGTATTTATCCCTTAATTAACATTGCAAGAAGTGGTTTCTGTGGTCGTGATGACATCACCACTGTTTGTGGAAGTTTGCTGAGACTAATTAACTGCATTCCCAACACCACAGTAGTGCCAACATATAGTCTTCATTGACTGTCAAGTGCTTTACAATGTCTGATTATGAAAAGTGTTGAGTAAACTCGGATCTGTTATCTCTTGTTCAATCCTTCCATTGAGAGTTGGGTACCAGTGTGGGGACACCTCAACTCGAATGACCTCTGCAGTTCAAGAAGGCAGCTCCTCACCAGTATCTAGGGGAATAAATGCTGCCTCTGCCAATTACGGCCACATGCCATTAAAGGATGGTGCAGACTAAGAACTCTTGCTGTGATTTAGCTGGGTATGTCCCCAACTGCTTCACAAGAAAGTGCTGTCACTGTCATTAAGGAAAACATAGCCCATTTTAAAGTATGTACCGGTAACGACAGTAAACCCGACTGAGTGAGTGTAAGAGCCCGAGCTCCTTATTACCGTTATTGTCCTCGCACTCTGCCATCTCGATCTTTAACGGTCTAAACTGTTAGTGAAACTCAATAGAAGCTTGTGTAGACTCCTAGTTTTACTATTGGGCACTTTAAAGCTGTCTGGCATTAATAGACTTTCCCTTAATTAACGTTTAATAACCTTTTTAAATGTAGCTTCCACTATTGCTTCAGGAATAAGTGGTGATGCAGCTTGAGTGAATGCCTCTTTGTCTAAAGTGTGGTTGTTTATGCAAAGCATTGTTTGTGGGACACAGAATCCCTTTGCCATTTGGTGATGGTTTGAGTTACGTGCAAATTGGCCAATAGTCGGACTTTCCTATTAGTTCTAACTCTGCAACTTACCCACTGATCCATGCACACATTGAACAAAATGAAAGCCTTAAACTGTGTTTGAAACAAATTATACCAATATACTCCCTTCAGTCCTTAGTTTAATCAGCGAGCTGGTTGTGATGAATTTAGGGTGTATCTTTGGAATGTAAATTGAAGCTAACACCTCTAAAAGGAGGATTATGAACATAGACTAGTGTTTTTGAGGGCATGCTCAAGCCTGATCCTCCATCTCAATGCCATACTACCACTTCTCCCTCATACCTGTTGATGCCTTTAACACAAAATTTGCTGACCTCTTTCATGTACATTTTCAGTGATTTTGGCCTCCACAGCGTTCTACGGTGCAGAATTCCACAGATTCCCTACCTTTTTGAGTGAAGAAAGTTTTCCTCATCTCCGTCCTAAATGGTCTACCCCATGACCTGAGACTTTGTCTCCAAGTTCTAAACTCACCAACCAGAGAAAGCATCCTCCTTCCAGTCAGTCCAGCCTGTTAGAATTTCAATCGAATCCTGTCTCGTGCTTCTAAACTCAAGTGAAATCAGACCTACTTGAAACGGTCTCTCATCATTCCCAGGATCAGTCCTGTGAACACCTTCTACGGCAGGTGTATTCTTTCTTCGATAGGAAGGCCAAAACTATATGCATTACCCAAGGCCCTTTGTAATTGCAGTAAGACATCCCTACTTCTGAAATCAATTCTCTTCCAGTAACAGCCAGTATATCATTTGCCTTCCTATATGCTTGCTGTGCCTGCTTGTCTCCTGTCACTGGCTGCAGTACAAGGACGGCCAGATCTCACTGTACATCCACACTTATCAACACATCATTTTAAATAATGCTGGGCCTTTGTTTTTCATACTGAAGTGTATGACTTCATATTTAACCATTTTGTACTGCATCTCCCTCACTCCCTCACTCCCTCAACTTGTCTCAATCACTTTGAAGCCTTGAACCTTGAGAGAGTAATCCCTGGGTTGTCGTCATCTTGTCCTGCCACAATAACTATCCCAACGGTGTCACTTGTATTTGGTTGCTGTCATGTAGTCAACTGCAAAAGTCACTTCCCATTAGTGAGTTTTCTCTACCCACAAGGCCCGTCTGCTCTGTGGATCCCGATCAGGAAAAAGGATGGTGGCAGCAAATCTGTTAGAGTGGGCAATCATTCAGATCGCTCATGCTCATTGAATTGCTTGATGGATTCCTCATCCAAACACCCAGTTTCTTTTTTTTTTTTTTTTTTGGGAAGTATCATCCTGGTTTAGTGGAACTTTTGCGGCTGAGTCACTAGCTCATGGCATTGTTCTCACTCCAAAGGCCTGAGCAGGTAAACTGGCTCACTTGATACTATCTGTGAATCAAACAAGCTTTAACTTATCACTCTTCACAATTGGAGTATAAAGCCCAAAAATTATCCTGAGTCAACAGCAGCGTTGGAAAAACCCAGCAGGTCAGGGAGCATTGATGGAGAGAGAAGTGCAGTTAACATTTCGAATCCAATAAGATCCAATCTTCAAATCTGTAAAGATGGAAAAGCCGTGGCCTTATACTTGACAGAAAGGAGATGCGCAATCAGAGGTGTGTGTCTACAAAGGACAAAGGCAGTGGTAACGGTTGCAGAGAAGGGACCAATCTACTACGCAAGTGTCAACAGCAGAATATAGGTTAGCTCTGCTGAAAGCAGAACGAGGGAAACGAGGCACCAGGGGTATCTCTGAGAAACAAAATGGAATGATCGAGTTCACATTTTGAAGTTGGTGAACATAAAGCAGAGTGAAGAAGACTATCGAATGCCTAGACTTGTCAAAAGCACCATTGGTGTAAAGTAGTATTGTTGGAACGTGTGACAGGTGGACAAACTGGGAGAACAGAATGGGGTCCTTGCAGCAAGCAGTGTGTGAGGAAGTGCCAAGGTAGTTGTTGGAGTTGCTGGGTTTGTAATAGATATTAAATGACCACGTGCCCCCAGAATGGAGTGACATGTTGAGGAAGGGAAGGGTCAACAAATCCAGAATAAATTTAAAAGAAAAATATAAAATTTGTAAATGAAATCTACTGGTCTGACTTGTCTCGCATACTTGAAAATGGATCTCTAGTATGATCAGTATGTTCTTTTCAAAGTATGATTGATTGTTTTAACTGGATCTGAACCAAATGAAGGTGAGAAAAGGCTGGAAGTGGGAATTAAAGTGGAATTTTTCTCGATCCAGGCATGAGTAGGAAGCAGCAGCAACACAGTTGTATGTTAGCCCAGGCTACTGCTGGGAGCTTGGCTTCCAAGGGCTTGCTTCACTAATTCTTTAATGTTTTGAGTTTGTTGCTGCAAATTTATATTGTGATGACATTGAGCATTTGTTCTTGGAAGTTTTTCTTTTAACACCAACTATTGGAGACCTGCAAAGACAGTTGAAGTGTGATTTTGAAATAGGCGCATTGGTTCAAAAAGATTGTTGATAGAACTCTGATGTAAGACAACCATTCTTTCTATAAAAGAATAATCTCATTGAAGGATTGTGATGCCAAATCATTAAAAACGCTAAGATTCCTTTGGTGTAAGTGTGCAATACTATGCACGTCAGAAATCTTGGAATCGCTTCATTTTAGTTTCTGACAACGTCCTGCAGGATAGATGCTGATTTCTTTTATGACAGTATAAAATGGTTGCATTGCAATTGTTGGAAGCTTCTTTATTGATTTGTTCTTTGGTTTTGTCTATGCCATTGCAGCAGTGGCGTTGTAAAGTTGAGCTACTTGTGGGTTATGTAGAAAGCTTAGCTAATTCTTTTCACCAATCTTCTTTTGAATTTCTGCAGGGATGCGTTATAAACGGCGTGGTGTGGATGAAAATGGGAACGTGGCAAATTATGTGGAGACAGAGCAGTTAATCCACGTCCACAGCCACACGCTCTCATTTGTCCTTACCCGGGGATCAGTACCAGTATTTTGGAGTCAGATTGGGTATCGATACAATCCTCGGCCACGGTTGGACAAACGTAAGTGATGAAAGAGTATCTTTACACTTAAAGCGATGAAGAATGGAACTGTGTCATGGAGCAGTAAAGGAACCTGTTTATTTTATGAACTGGATCACAGAATGAGTAGCATAAGCCCCATATGACATGAAGCGAATGATTGCAATGGATGTAACGCCAAACTTGCCTGTCACCTTTTATTGGCTTTCAGTTTTAATTATTTTGTGTGTTTCATAGTCTGTGTTGGGCTTGTTGGCTACCCAATCCTTTATTCAGCTAATTGGTCGTTCGGAATAAAAGACATCACCAGCTGCCTTAGGTTCACCAGACTAGTGTTTGATGAATTTATCTGGTGTGAATGATTTTAATGCTTTGTAATTAATACTTGACAACACAAAAGGAAATGGAAAGATAATTTTGATCTCTGAACTTGCGTCTTCCAACTGGCTGTCACTGAAGAAGGTGCCGTAATGTATTGACAGGGCAACTTGGAGCAGGTCATTCATTTCCACCATTCTGTACCACTGTAACCCTTTTATATAAGCAAGTCATTCCAATCATGTACAAAAACCCTTCCCACATTCTGTCAAACACATTACCCCCCATCTCAGTTGGTTTGGTAGAAGTAGTGGGGGAGGTGGGGGGTAGGTGGTGGGAAAGCTTGTCTTTGTGTGCAGGTAGAATGTCACAACTCCATCTGTCCAAAAACTGGAGTTGTCTCAATGTTCTATTCTTCATCCAGTAAAACTCTCAAATCAGTAACTTGGCTGGATAATTTGGCAAACAGTATGCAGTGGCATACTGTGGACTGTTTGTTGACTTTGCACTCTGCTCTGCTCTATCCCATGCTCCATGTCACCCTTGACTTGGCCCACATCCAGCTTCAGCTGAATGGCTCACAGCCCTCAACCCCTGACCTGGAATTTGACAGTGTTAGGAATCCGACATGGATTTGGTCCTGAGGCTGCTAGATTGGAGTTACTGGTTCTGTAATTGACAAACGCAGGAGTTGTCAAGCTTTGAAACCAACAACATAGAGATGTATCAAGTGTTTAGGCCCTGTTGACATTTAGGCAATAGCACTGAAGACTTGTGCTTCATAACTTCATGTGCCCTTATCCAAGCAGTTTCAGTACAACTACAACACTGGCATTTACTGGCAATGTTGGAAAATTGCCCAAGTATGTCATGTATACAAAAACAGGGCAAATCCAACCAATTATCACCCCATCGGTATACTCTGGATCATCACTCAATTGGTGGAAGGAGTCAAGTGTTATTGAGTCGCCATTGGCTCTTGACCTCATTCCAGCTTTGGTTCAAACATAGACAAAAAGCTGAAATCCAGAAGTGAACTACGTTTGCAGATGACACAGATTGGTGGAGTTGCTGATTAGTGCTGGCGATTGTGAAAGGATACAACAAGATCTCGATAAATAGGTGACTTGGGCACAGAAGTGGCAGATGGAGTTTAATCCAGACAAATGTGAGATGATGTATTTTAGAGGATTGAATTTAGGTGTGAACTATACCGTAAATGGCAGAACCCTTAGGAACATTAACATACAGATCTGGGCGTGCAGGTTGACAGTTCCCTAAAAGTGGCAACACAGGTGGCCAAGCTGATTAAGAAGACACAGCATGCTTGCCTTCAACAGCCGGGGCATGGAGTACAAGAGTTGGCAAATCACGTTGCAGTGATATAAAACCCTTGGTGTTGGGTGTAGTTTTTGTCGTGGAAGGACATGGAAGTTTTGGAGAGAGTGCAGAGAAGTTTCACCAGCTTGTTGCCTCGTCTCGAGGGAATTAGATATGAGGAAAGGTTAAAAACGTGCAGATTGCTTTCACTGGAAATATGCCGGCTGAGAGGAGACCTGATAGAGGTCTATAAAATTGAGCGGCATAGATAGGGTGGATAGTCAGAGGCTTTTTCCCAAGGTTGAAGTTTCAATTACAAGGGGGCACAGGTTCAAGGTGAGAGGGCAAAAGTTTAAGGGAAATGTGCGAGAAAAGTTTTTCACGCAGAGTATGGCAGGGCCTTGGAACACACTGGCAGAAAAAATGGTGGAAGCAGGCACGTTGGCGACATTTAAGAGGCATTTGGATGGTTACATGAATAGGGAGGGAATGGAGGAATACAGACCAAATAAAGGCAGAAAGTTTATTTTTTAGATATGGCATGATTGGCACAGGCTTGGAGCACTGAAAGGGCCTGTTTCTATATTGTACTTCTGTTTTGTTCTTTGTTCTTTTCTTTAAGTTACTCAGTAGTGTCCTCGCATCTTTAGCTGCTTATCAATAACCTTCCCTCCATCATTGGCTCAGAAGTGGGAATGTGCGATCCTCGACGAACAATGTTCAGCACCATTCGTGACTTCAGTTCCTGAAGCAGTCCATTTTCAAATGCAGTAAGACCTTGACAATATTCAAGCTTGGGCTGACAAGTGGCAAGTAACATTCATGCCCCACATGTGCCAGGCAATGACCATCAATAAGAGATAATCTGACCATTGACATATTTCTGTAACTGAATTCCCCTACTGCACCCACCTACCCCTGCTTGCTCAGCATCTTGGCTACCACTTAGCAGCAACTCGACTGCATTAGCCACATAAATACAGTGGCTACAAGAGCAGGTTAATGACTAGGAATCCTGTTGTAGATAACTCTTCACCAGACTGCCCAAAGACTATCCATCATTAACAAGGTACAGGTCAGGAGTATAATGGAGTAATCCCCACTTGTCTGGATGAGTGCAGCTCCAACAACATTCAAGAAGTTTCATACCAGCTGGGACAGAACAACCAGGTTGCTTGACATCACATCCACCAGCATCTCGTCACTGCACTTAGTAGCAGCAGTGCATACCATCTACAAGTTGTAGCAGAAGTTCATGGTGCGTTAGACAGCAGCTTGCAAGTTCACAACCACTTCTACCTTCAAGGGCAAGGGCAGCAGATACATGGGAACACCACCCCATGCAAGTTCCCCTCCAAGCCACTCACCATCCTGACTTGGAAATATATCGCTGTTTCTTTAGTGTCATGGGTCAAAACCATGGAACTGTGTTCCTAGCAGCACTGCTGCACCACCAGAAGGCAGCTCACCATCTGCTTCTCGAAGGCAGTTTGGGATTAGCATTAAATACTGGCCTAGTCAGTGGTGTCCATATCCCCTTAATGCGAAAAAACATATGTGCAATCTGTTTGTTCAGTGATCCTGATTGAGTGGTTAACTTTGACCAGTGCTCCGGACATAAGTCCCTTATTCTCCATTGTAGAGCCAAGTGGTATTTTTTTACATTGACCTAGGGATGTGCATTTGTTTTAATCCAAATGCCAGCATGTCTGTCACTGCATTGGAAAGTCGGGTGCTCTGCTTCTTAAGTGGAATTTTCTGACAGACGCAAGGTTGTCCCTGATTGAGAAATGGAGCATCTAACCTTGAAAACGGTTTTTGCCTCAGTAATTAAACCTGAATGTCACTCGCACTTCTTCGTGATCTGGTATATATTAAGTCTTTCCCTTTGGTTCTAAATCTCTTTTGCTTTCCATCTTGTACTTATGACCCTGATTTTATCAGCTCCTGGACAATTAAACAGCCGACCATCATTTACTCTGCATCATCCTATCAAATCTCCTCAGAATCTGATCTCTAATGAAGAAAAACCCAATTTTCCAAGTCTTTTGCGTTTATATTTACTTATACCAGGAAGCATCTGAGCAAAATTTTATTGTTTCTTTTCTAAAAGCTCAGCCCTTTCTTTAGTGTGGTTGACAGTTTTGCACTTTGTACTCTGAACTGACATATTGCTTAAGTTTTTATATGAGCTTGTTATTACTTTGCTTTTTATATTTTTAACCTCCGTGTAGAATTCCATTGGTGTTTTGTTGGCATCTTAAGTAACCTGCGACCTTGAATATTCTATGACATACTTCCATCCAGAATATAATTATTCTTTTTTGTTTATCTGATGTGTATCACCGTTAATTGACACTGCTGGCTTTTAGGTCTATTTTGTCCATCTCTTTCTATAGCTTTCTTTGGTATTCTGAACCAATATTGTCACCTAACCTCTCAAAGTACAGCCCTTAACTCCTGTCTGGTTTCTGTTGAGACAATTATCATATGCTGTTTGTTCTTCAAATCATGTTGCACTGATTAAAGACAGCACATGAAAGGTAACTATTGGAAACTGCTCTGAACCTAATATACCTCACATGCCTCCATCCACTGTCCATGTTTGTTTCCTCAGCTAGCTGGATGACTTTGACCTTTCAGTGTGCACTGATATCACTGTTCCCCTGCCCTCCCTGAGCCTTTCTCCAAAGCAATCTTTCTTAAACAACTGCAGAGTTTGTGAATATTTCTTCAATCCTTCCACTTGTTTTGCTGATGTCTTACTTCAGCCAAGCTATTTCATTTAGTATGTCTAGCTGGTTAGCCAAATACCCTGGAGGAAGTATTCTTTTGAATTTGGCAGTACTACAGCAGCTGGTTTGACATCATTAGCGCCATATGGCTTTGGTATTGCTCACTTCTCATGGAATACCTGTCATCTTTGAGACTCCAGAGTCAAATATTGGCAATGGAGTGAAAAGCCCAGCACATGTAAATGAGATGAGGTAGTTATCCTTCAAATCTTTAGCCATCAAAGCACAGCTGGAGTTAATGCATTGAGAGATCCTGTAGTTTCATCCTGTACTGTGCAGTTCTGTAACAAAAAGTCAAGTCTCAAGGGCTAATAAATATTAGCCAATTTATTTTAAGGCTGAGATGGGTGGCCCAATGAGGCATGAAAACCTCTTGCAGAATTTGGTTTGAGCTACCTCAAAGAAAACATTAAACAGTTTTTATGTTCTGAACAAATTGTGGTACAGGACATAGGGGAGCAGTAACAGAAGGCTAGTCCTCTAGAAAGCTGCTGCTATATGACAGGCCACTGCCTCCTTTGCTGTTCCCATTGTTTGCCCGTGTGGTTCGAGCAGCTGTTGGGACGTGTATAGAGTCAGGACAGACGGAGCTGTCAGCTGCTGAAATGTCCAACGGAGCAACTCCTAACTGAGCAGTGACAGAACTCTCCATATTAATATTAAAATCTCGTTTACTTCCAGCTTGGATACACAAACTTTGGTGAGAGGAGATTGCAACTGAGAATGTAACACTTGTCTATTTGCAAATTGTGTTTCGCTCCACTCACTTTGTTGTCATAGCTATTAGAATGCTGATTAATTGAAGTCCTGTTTTAAACCTGTTCAAATTGGGGATGCTCAAAAAAAATTGTCTGCTTTGCATTGACATTACACACATACATGTGCGCCTGTGTAAATAATGTGTCTTTGGAGCCATTTTACTGCTTTCTTTACCAAAGTCACTCTGTAACTCAGCAGTAAACTGGTGTTCATCGCCTCCTCTTAAGGTCCGAGCCCGTTTTGGAAACTGAGGGGTCAGGTAATCTATCCCAAGAATTTTACCCGTGCTGCTGCTTTTCCCTACCCAACCCCATCAAAAACACAGGTATTGTAGGCTCATTGCCTGAGGAATAACTGCTGCTCAGGATGAAACCTGTGTCCATGCTGACTATTGGCTACCAGAGTAATGAGCAGGTAATTGAAATAGTTCTTTCTAATTGGCACCTGATCCAGCACAGCCATGGGATAGAAGCTTGGGGCTATCCTTCCAAAGATATGTTTCTGCCCAAGATTCGATGTTTAGTTGGTAATGTCGGTGCAGAAGTTGATTTCTTGCAAATCTTGCTGGATTCCCATTCTTGTTCGTGGAAACAGGCTCTTCGGCCCAACAAGTCCACACCAACCCTCAGAGCATCCCACCCAGACCCATCCCTCTATAACCTACCTAATCTACACATCCCTGAACACTACGGGCAATTTAGCATGGCCAATCCACCTAACCCGCACATCTTTGGACTGTGGGAGGAAACTGGAGCACCCGGAGGAAACCCACGCAGACACGGGTAGAATGTGCAAACTCCACACAGTCACCCGAGGGTGGGATCGAACCCGGGTCCCTGGTGCTGAGGCAGCAGTGCTAACCACTGAGCCACTGTGCTGTTTTGGGCGAGCTGGTGCCTTTCACTTTTTGAATGCTCTTGGTGAATGTTTTTGTTTGTAACGTGAAATGGTTTGATTTGTGCAGCTGAGGAGGAGACGACCAGTACGTTTGCCGCACACTTTGAAGAGCAGCTGAAAATTTATAAAAAGCAGGTGAGCTGGTTGCTTTTTGATGGAGCTCCTAGATTTTTAGTCCGTTTTCCAGTCGTGTACTGAACTACTCTGATTTAATAAGCTGCTCAGTGTTTTGGCTGCGTGCGGTTTGTTGCTTTCACCTCTTGTGTTTTAGTATGTGTATTCAACTGACTGACCTGTAGTTGCTGGTCACTCTTTGCGCCTTTTTTTAACAAACGAGTGTAATGTGCAATTCTCCAGTCCTCTGGCCTGCATGGAGTCCAGAAAAAATGTTATGGCCATCTTCCATAATTTTCACTCTCTTGCCTTCCTCTGTATTCTTGGTACATCTCCATCTGGTGTTTTAAGGTGGCAAATGATGTTTTGTCCTTTGTTGTGAGAGTATTTAGAGTTTAGAAGTAGGGAAATCTCATCCTAATTTATGTTCTTATCAAATTCAAGTACTGTCTATCCAATAGCAACATCTAATTTTACTCTTTTCAGGGTGTCTGAACAACTCCTCCATGATCTGAGCAGCTGCGTCTTAGTAACGACAGATACAAAGTATTCAGTTAATAACTCTGTCATGTCCCAGTTTTTGTGCAAAACACTTTTTAATATTCATGATTTTATTTTTAGACGCACTTTAAACAACAGTATCTCTACAAAGCACCCCTAAGCACTTGTTTTAGGATCCTACAACAATTATTGCAACATAACTGCAGATATTTCCCAATTTTTGATTTTCAGTGTCTTTAGAGTCATGTGCAAATAACATTCACTCTCCCACTCCAAACTGTCATTTTCCTGTCAGGGAAGCAAGCAAGTATCCTGCCTGTTCTGAGTGACATATTGATGATATTAGATTAAGTATTTGTTACATCCAAAGTTGCTGAGAGAAACTTGTGCTCAGGTATTTAAAAGTCAAACATGTTGAAGCACTGACAAGTCTTCCATATACATGTTCATTAACAAATGTATGCAGTCCATGGACTATACAAGTCAGATTTTTTTCTTTACGGTCACCTGCATCAGCCATGTTCACAGTTTGATTAGAATTAGTTGCTCGACTGTTTGTCTTTGCCTCTATTTCACAATTAACCACAGATGTAGGTTATTAGTAGCCTGGGTAGTGCATGCGCACGTGTACTATTTAATCGACATTTTGTGTTTGTCACCCTTTTTGTTAATGGCCCCATGTTTCACCTAACTTCAGCTGATCATAATATTTGTTTATTATTCCTAACATGCCAGTTTATGGTCTTACTTTGCTCTGATTTGTTTACGAAATATTCCATTGCTTCTATAGCACCTGCATTTAATGTTGTCTTGACTTAAAGCCACTGAATTATAGAAGGACAAATCCTCTATCCAGTATCAGATGAGCAGGCAGGGAATAGAGGGATATGGACTATGTACAAGTAGGTGGGATTAGTTTAAAATTGCATCGTTGTCAGCATAGACATAGTGGGCTGAAGGGCCTGTGCTTTAATGTTCTGTATTTGACAGACAAATGTTAGGATCATCAAAGTAAATTACCATTGCAGGTTATCATGTGGGAACTATTTTATCCAGAGAAGTCTTGGATGGTTAGTCTTATTCCGATTGTTTTAATTTTGTCATGCTCCTGTTATGTTTGTATGCTGTAAGCAGCGCGCAGTCTCTCAGCCTTTCTGAACAGGCTTTAGGCTTGTGTCATGTTCCAAGGCGTTCCATGGGAGCGATTATGAAACAAACTTGGAGACAGACTCCCAAAGAGATGTTCTGGCAGTTGATTCCAGACTACCACAGGGTGATTTTAGTAACTTACTGGAGGAGGAGGAGACTTAGAGAGAGCTTTTTGCCCCATCAGGCCCTGCTGATCTTTGTGCAGACTTGCATGCGATTTGGTCTTTGTGGAAATGAGCTTTAAATAATTTTGTGAATATTGTATTGCATTCAATTCCTGTTTCTGCTTCATCTTGGTAGGTTATTGTCAGCCTTGTAGATCAGACTGGAAGAGAGAAAATAATTGGAGATGCCTTTCTTCGACAAGTTTTGTTGTACAATAACCCAAGCCTTACCTACGTGACTTTTGACTTCCATGAGCATTGGTAAGAAGCAAGGATGATAATTGAAAGCCTTTACACGGATACGTTCTGGTGTTCTAATGTTGATTCAAATGCAACTCATGACAAGGCCGGTGTTCGAGCAGTTCACTTCTTGTTACGCTGCGTGGTGTGATTGGAGTCTCTCGCTCATGTCAGTTTTTTTTTTTCCCCCTCCCTTCGTCCCACGAAAGTAAATCTGACTTAGATGATTTCAAATCTCTCCTCTTGCCTAAGTGGTTGAGATACTAGCTATTTCTCTTTTCCTGTCGTAATATCCAGTCTCTTGGCTTCTCTGTGCTCTGAAATACTTTGGCTTTCTTTGAATTGATATCCCTACTATTTAGGGAACGTTGTCTCTCGGTATAATGTGAAAACAACAAATTTTATTTCTGCTTTTTAAAAGAAACTTTCCATTTATCAGAACAAAAATGGATGAGCACGAGAGACAAAAATGAGAGCTTTCTTCCTAATGTCTCATACGCCACATGGTTGCCTGATTTACTCCTTGATTGTGCATGTTGCTGCAGAGCCCTAAAATCCAGTTTGGGAGTGGTGGAGATGGAAATAAGTGTCACGTACCCTTCGGCAGTTATTTATAATAGGAAAAGTGATTTGTGTATCTGTGAGATCCTTAAACATTACAGACCATTTTCCATCTCAACATCAGAATAAGTAAATATCCAGGAAGAATAAACTGTTCTGGATGACATTGAGAGTCATCCTATTTGTCTTACATTTCTATTTGCATTTTGAAATTAATTTTTGATTAGCAGTCACCCAGGATTTAGTCTCAATATTTGTAATATATGGCAACTGTTTGTGGTGGGTGGAGAGAGTTACAGTGACTGCTGATATAATGTGAAATATTTGGCGCTGGTGTTTAAGAAATTTGTAAACCTGTGCCTCTTAAGTGACCACAAAATGAAGAACTAGATTTGCCAGGAGCTGGACTACATTTATCAGTCATGCTCATGTGGCAGAGCACTGCATTTTATAGTGATGAGAAAATACAGTGCAGACTAGAAGTGTAATCTATTCTGCATTTAACATCAAACTTGACCTTCTGTTTTCATAGCACTGTTTTGGTTTTAGCTTGTCTATTCAGGACAGCTATGCTAAAAAGTCGTGACCCAGGGAAAAAAATCTACAGTTGACTCTTTAAGCATGTTCTGTCATTTCTGCAAGGCCAGAGAGGCTGGTTGTTTCAATGAACTGGCCCCAAAGTGTATTGAAAAATAGTTACAGCTGTTTGTGTATGTTGACCATCTCAAACAGGCTTGTTCTTGAATTTACACATCTCCCAACTTCTGCGATAGTTTGTATTTAACTGTTCACCTTTCTTTATCTCTGAATTTTGAGTGCTCCCACCCTGGTTGCATTATTTTGTATTCATTATTTGGAGTATTGCTGGAAAAGGGGGCATGCTGTTAAGCCTTTTTATCTTGCACCCATCAGGACAGAATCCCAAGAATACCAGATATCCCAGGGAAGAATTCAAACTACATGAGTAAAGGGTGCTAATTGGTTGGCAAATGTACTCTAATTTACATATTAAGTACTGCCCCAACAAAAACCAAACCACGCACATCTACCAATTGATCAGGACATTGCCACGAGCATACCAGACAGCGGTTCCTCACAGGTTTTTCTGAGAGATGTTTATCCATTCTTCAATTTGTAAAAGATGAATCCCTACTCGAGAATATAGATTCAAGTAAGCGTAAACAATCCTGACTATATTTAATCTGAGCCTGTTCAATCACTGAATCATATGTAATCGTAGAATTTTACAGTACAGAAGGAGGCCATTTGATCCATTGTCTGTATTGGCACCTGAAAGAGCGAACTAGCTAGTCCCTTTCTGTAGCCCTCTAAGTTGATCACTTTCAAATATATACCCAGCTGTCTTTTGAAGTCTCCTATGGAATTTGCCTCCACCACTCTCCCAGGCAGCATACTCCGAATCCTGACAACTGAGCAAAGAAGTTTCTGTTGGACACTTCTGACGTTTGCAAGCATCACTAGTTGAGAATGTTCAATAATTTGCATGTTGCAAATGGTGACAGGTGAGTGCAGGTAGGCAGTGGTGGGAATTGGCCTATCGCCATCCCACCTACCTTCCCCAGGTCCTCCTATCCCCGCCTCCTTGACCTGTCCGTCTTCTCTCCCATCTATCCGCTCCTTCCACCTCACTGACCAATCCCCACCACTACCTACCTGCACTCACCTATCACCGTCCCACCTACCTTCCCCCCCCCCAACCCCCCCCCCCCCCGCCCCACTTCTCTATTCCAGAGCCCCCTTCCCCCTCCCCCATTTCTGAAGAAGGGTCTTGACCCAAAACGTCAGCTTTCCTGCTCCTCTGCTGCCTGGCCTGCTGTGTTCCTCCAGTGCCACACTGTTATCTCACTTCATTGTTCCTTTTACCTCATTGGAACTGAATTTTTGATTTGGGATTACTTCACATCCTTGTTACTTCTATTTAGCCAATCTGGGGGTTTGTTGCTAACCTTTAATGGGGCAAGCAGAGGGGAGGGAACAGATAGGTGCAGGTTGAACTCAGAGAAAATGACAGGCAGCCAGAGGGTAAAGAGACAGCTGGTAGTGTGATAAGTGTACCTTTCAGTAGTCTTCTGATTAACCACATTGGTTTTCTCAGCTGTCAAAAATGCCATTTTCAGCAATCAGTTGAATCATATATGTTCATATTTACAAATGGTTTGATTGAAATATTTAAAAACTGAAGTGGTTGTTTGCTTACTTTCAAGTCGAGGAATGAAGTTTGAAAACGTGCAGACTTTGACCGATGCTATCTCTGATATCATCACAGACATGAAGTGGGGCTGGTTAGTATCTCCATTTACTTCCTTTTGTCACTTGGTGTAGTGTACTAAATATTTTTTGGTGCAATGACAAGTTCACAGAACCAAAGATTACTTGTTAGGTTGTCAAAGTTCCACAATATTGTGAGCTTAATTTCTTCTTTATCGCTATAGCAGTGAAGCTGTTCAGACTTACAAAGTGTAATTGTTCACTTTTTACTGCTGTGTTGAAGGACAACAATTCTCAGCACTTTACAGAAAGTCTGTAATGATATAAAAGTTATCTGATCTGCCCAGGACTTGTGGAAGTCCCTATGTTAATCATAGTTAATTGAAATTTCTTTGTTTTTTAGCAGCATCCTCTGTAGTTGAACAGTAACTGAATGTGTGTCGTCAGATGTTTATGTAGGGTTGACGGGTCAAAGATAGGAATCAGCATTGTGATGGTTCCAAGTGTCACTTTTATCCACCTAAATCCATCTGCTCAGACCAGTTGTGGAGGGTGTGTTGTGTTCCCTTTGCAGGCTATGACAGCAAATTGATAAAAACCAAAAGAACTATGGTTGCTTGAAATCAGAAACAGTTACCAGTGCGCTGAGAGGTTATGCTGCCTCTCCCCTTGGTGTGGAAGTGGTGAGCATTGTAAGAGACTCGAGGGAAATCGAAGGCAAAACATTTCAGGAAGCGGCAAATAAATTTGTAAAGAATGTCTGTCTGATTTGTAATCCCTGGGTTCAATTAAACTCCGATTGCTTGGAAAAGGAGTTTTACGCTCCATCTATCATGTCCCTTGTAAATTGAGTTTAGACAGTCACAAGCCGGCTTTTTGGTCAGTCTACATTTAATTACACAAACAGTGCCTGAATTCCGAGTTCGATTCTAGAGAGGTTGGAATGGGAAATGGAGAAAATAACATTATAGCGACGAAGGGTCTTGTTAAGATTAGCATTGAAGTATTTATTTCAATGAAGAACTATTCTATCATGCACACGGTCTGGGAGTGCCCAGGCTTGCTTGCTTGCTTGCTATTGGGTGTTCAGTGCAAGTGTTCAATTTCTTCAGCCTAATGTGTTGAATATAAATAGTGCAGCACACTAACTGCTAATGTGGAAAGGACATTGTTACAGTGCAACATGGATTTGGCTATTGTGTTTGAGTGTATGAAGCTCATTTATATTTTAAACAAAAATGGAGCTAGGAATGCAGAAGCTCTGATTAAATGTAAAACTACAGAAGTCACTTGAGCTAGTGTGTTTTGAGGATTACATCGTTCTTGATCCCAAATATTGGAGGATCTATTCACCCATTTATCAGCATATTTGACCATTCAGACTTCTTACAATGACGTTTATAATCACAAGGACAGGCATTGAGTGCAGAATTCTGCTTCCATGTGATATGATATCTTGTTGCAGTGATGTAAATGAGAATGGGCCACTCTGACTAAATTGGAATGGTATGTCACAACTGCAGGATGACAGCAATGCTGATCTGTGGGCAGATATCTTGACTTTGCTATAGGTTTTGCGTCTGTAATTTCCTATTGAGTAGAGATCAGACGAGCGTCCAGTTTTACGATTCACTTAACACTCGGACTGCCTTGAACTGCATGTTGTGAAAATGTGCAAACTATTATTCACCGTAGGATGCTTATCCTTCAAGTGCATTTTTGGGGACAACAGCATCACTTGAGTGTTTCAGCTGTGAAGCTGCTCTTCCACACAGGTTTTTCCCCGTTACAAAATTATTTTGTAAGCTGTAGTTTTGGTGCCAGCAGCAGCTTTCTTCACTTGACCCTGTGGAAACAGGAAATGTTGGCATTCCCCATTGTTGGAAAGAATGTTACCTTACTATTAGGTGGTACAGAAAACTTGGCAGAAGGTCGATTCCCTGCAAATGCTACCATCTTACTACTTAAAGTAAGGATAGTTCTGTTCCTTGTTTTTACGGATGTTAAATTTACATAACTTTGGTCTAGGAGCAATCGCAGGAAAGGCAAACTGTTGGTTTGGTTACTTGCAGGGTTGACCAGGCAGGAGAGATTTGCAAACAGGAAGGAATCTTCAGAGTGAACTGTATGGATTGTTTGGATCGGACAAACGTGGTTCAAGCTGCAATTGCTCGAGTGGTCATGGAACAGCAGGTAGGAAATGGCCATGTAGTCGCTAGTGCAGCATTCAGGAAAGAGAATCCAGTGTCTTGTTTCTGATCTCAAATGTCTTCACCAGTTTTGTGTTCATCTTTATTTTCAATCATTCCCTTCTTACAGCAAAATGTAGAAATGGTTGTGGAATGCTACAGCGGACATTACCATCTTTGCAAGACCAAAAGATGCACCAAAAAGGGAACAATTAACTATTTAATGTAATAATTTGATGTAAGCTTCAAACATTAAGCCATGCAGCAATTTGAGGCGATCCCTGCCCAAACAAAAGTGCATTTTATGGACCAGCAATTCATTGATCCTGATGAATCTCTTCATCAGCAAAATTCAAATAATTCCCTTTACATAGTCTCTGTTCACCTCCATTGTAAGCCATCGCTTGGCAAACTCTGAAGAATTGCCCATTGAGGGGCAAACCTGCAGAGATGTCTGTGTTGCAGCTGATTTTAGCATCCCACCTTGCAGCAATGGAAATCTGTCATCTTGAGAGACAGGTAGGAGATTGGACTTGATGTTATCATTACACCAGCCTTATTCTTATTGAATGGCAGGGCAAGCTCAAATGGCCTTTTATTATGTCCTTTTACATGTACGGTTAGCTCATGATAGCCTCTGTAACTAGTATATCACTATAAATGATTTATACTTCCAGGTAGTCCTCTCATCTCGGACTTTAACAGCAGCAAAATTATAGTAGAAACTGGGCCATGAGTTTTGGCAGCTTTTGAGTGAAGACATTTCTCCATATCTCAGACTTGAGCAGTTGACCTCTTGACGTGGTACTGCGATCCTGTTGTCGGTTGTTCTGCTGGGGAAGCTTTTCACATTAACTTCACTGAAACCTTCCCCCCCCGCCTCCACTTGTCTGACAGCCAGAATTGAATGAGAAGGTGGTTTGATTTTGTTTGTGCTCTGTGAGTTCCTGACCACCTTTTTCATGAGAGGGTCACCAAGGTTGTCTGTTTGCATCTCGCCCAATTACATCCTTGTCAGTACCCGGCTCCTGCCCTTGCTCCTGCTTTCTGTGCCACCCCCGCTGCTGCCATCTGTGCTCCAGACCATGGTTACTTCTATCCTTGATGCTTGACATGGACTCTTGTCCAACCTTCCATTTTCTACCTTCATAAATTTTAGGTCATCCCAAATTCTAGCTTTGTTTGAACTCTCACCAAGTTCCATTTCCCTTCTCCCCCCCCAGCTCCACCCCCCCCCCCCCCCCATCCCCCCATCCCCCCCATCCTCTGATCTCCATTGGCAGCCACTTGAGCGCTGCCTTGATTTTAATATTTACGTCCTTGTTTACAAATCCTTTGGTGACCTTGTCTCTCCTTGTTTCTGTTGACTCCTCCAATCTTGTACTCCTGAAATTTGTTTGCTTGTCTGAGTATGGCATTATGATTCCTGATCTTAGTACATTCACCATTGGTGGCCACGTCTTTAGTTGCATAGACCCTAGAGCCCTAGACCTCCTAAAGCGCTCTGTCCCTATCCATCAAGTGTCTTTTTAAAACCTGACTCTTCGGCACATGTTTTGCTCGTTTGCCCGTAGATATTATGTGGCTCAGTGTCAGGTTCCATTGACTACAGTTCTATGAAATGCCTTGCAGCAACTTCCTGTGTTACAGGTGCTATTATCAATGTCAGTTGTTGCTGCAAACTGCTTGAGGTTTGAAAGGAACCTTTTTGTAACGTAACAATGTGAGCTGTGAAGGAGACTTGCTTGATCAAAGGTCTTGCATGCTGCTCATTAGTGCATCGGGGCTTGAAAGAGCAAAGAGACCTTTCCCAAAGGATTGGGTTCACGTCGAACTGACATTCATCAAGACCAACTGGTGACAGTACATTCAGCTATAATAGAGAGTTGGTGGCACAGTGATAATGACAACGCACCAATAACGTTGGACCCTAGGCTAATGTTCTGAGGATATGGGTTGAAATCCCACTGAAGCAGATGATAAAGCTGGAACTCAATAAAAATCTTAATTAAAAAGAGTGGCCTAATTAAAGAAACCATGTAATCACTGCCAATTGTCATTAAAAGCAATCTGATTCACACCGTGAGGCCACTATCGGAGAACCCACAGATGACGTCACATCCGCCACCGCCGGGTTCCCCGCTTCCGGGACAGCGAACACCATCGCTGCCGTTGCCACCGCCTCCATTTCCGAGACCAACACCACCGACACTGAAGTCACGACTACCGTCGCCGCTACTGCCGCCGCCTACCCCGCTCGCCGCGCCGCTCCGCCCATCACCGACACTGACGCAACTCCGTCCGATGCCGACGTCGCTCCACCCACAGCCTCCACAGCCAGCAGCTCCAGCCCTGCCGAGTCTTCACCATTCCCCCAGACCTCCCCCTTGCTGAGGACGAACGGTCAGGCCTCGGTAAAGGGCTCACCTTTGTCCCCCTCCAGCCACAGATCAACGAATACCGCTCACGCTTGGACATAGAGCAGTTTTTCCTCCGCCTCCACGCTTACTTCCTTAACCGTGAACCTAACCCTCCCGCTTCCAACACACCCCCTCTTCCTGGACACCACCCCAAGGCCTCCTACCCTCCCTCGCCCTCTTCATCTCCAACTGCCGTCGAGACATCAATCGCCTCAACCTCTCCACCCCCTCACCCACTCCAACCTCTCCCCCGCAGAACGTGCAGCCCTCTGCTCCAATCCCAACCTCACCATAAAACCCGCGGACAAGGGACGTCTACATCGCCGAGGCCAGGCGCCAACTCTCCGACACCACCTCCTACCGCCCCCTTGATCATGACCCCACCCCTGAGCACCAAACCATCATCTCCCAAACCATCCACAACCTCATCACCTCAGGTGACCTCCCACCCACGGCCTCCAACCTCATCGTTCCCCAACCTCGCACTGCCCGCTTCTATCTCCTTCCCAAAATCCACAAACCTGAATGCCCTGGTCGACCCATTGTCTCCGCCTGCTCCTGCCCCACCGAACTGATCTCCAACTATCTCGACTCCATTTTCTCCCCCTTGGTCCAGGAACTCCCTACCTATGTCCGTGACACCACCCACGCCCTCCACCTCCTCCAGAACTTCCAATTCCCCGGTCCCCAACACCTCATCTTTACCATGGACGTCCAGTCCCTCTACACCTGCATTCCCCATGCAGATGGCCTTAAGGCCCTCCGCTTCTTCCTGTCCCGCAGGCCCGACCAGTCCCCCTCCACTGACACCCTCATCCGCTTAGCCGAACTCGTCCTCACACTCAACAACTTCTCTTTCAATTCCTCCCACTTCCTACAGACAAAGGGGGTAGCCATGGGTACCCGCATGGGCCCAAGCTACGCCTGCCTCTTTGTAGGTTACGTGGAACAATCCCTCTTCCGTACCTACACCGGCCCTAAACCCCACCTCTTCCTCCGTTACATTGATGACTGTATCGGCGCCGCCTCGTGCTCCCACGAGGAGCTCGAACAGTTCATCCACTTCACCAACACCTTCCACCAACACCTTCCACCCCAACCTTAAGTTTACCTGGACCATCTCTAATACCGCTCTCCCCTTCCTGGACCTCTCTGTCTCCATATCGGGCAACCACCTAGAAACCGATATTCATTTCAAGCCCACCGACTCCCACAGCTACCTAGAATACTCCTCCTCCCACCCACCTTCCTGCAAAAATGCTATCCCCTATTCCCAATTCCTTCGCCTCTGCTGCATCTGCTCCCAGGATGAGGCATTCCACTTCCGTACATCTCAGTTGTCCTCGTTTTTCAAGGACCGTAACTTCCCCCCCTCAGTGGTCAAGAACGCCCTCAACCGGGTCTCCCACATCTCCCGCAACTCATCCCTCACACCCTGTCCATGCAATAAGAACCAAAAAAGAATTCCCCTCGTCCTCACGTACCACCCCACCAACCTCCGGATCCAACGCATCATCCTCCGACACTTCCGCCATCTGCAATCCGACCCCACCACCAAAGACATCTTTCCCTCCCCACCCTTATCTGCTTTCTGGAGGGACCACTCTCTCCGTGACTCCCTTGTCCGCTCCGCACTCCCCTCCAGCCCCACCACACCCGGCACTTTTCCCTGCAACTGCAGGAAGTGCTACACCTGCCCCCATACCTCCTCCCTCACCCCCATCCCAGGCCCCAAGAAGACTTTCCACATCAAGCAGATGTTCACCTGCACATCTGCCAATGTGGTATACTGCATCCGCTGTACCCGTTGTGGCCTCCTCTACATCGGGGAAACCAAGCGGA